TGCCAGAAAGACCTCCTGGCAGTCCTGCGCCTGCCTTAATTACTAGATTGCACTTCCTTTGCCTCACCCGTTACACAAGATTTCTTCTTTTTTGGTATTTTTAGTGGGACACTCTCCAGTTTCCAGTGGGTTTCGAACATGGTAAAAAACAAGGCTGCTGTTTGTTTCCTTTAGGTGTACGTGAATACTTTCAGACACAAATTCCTGTAGTCTTTTCTTTGAAAGGAGTCAAAATTCAGAAGTGAGGAAAGCTTTTCTTATAATGCTTTTGATGCTCCTGTAGATCTTTTCTTTTTTTAATTAAATCTACAGAAAAGTGTACATGACTGATGCGGTAGCTCCCATGTTACACACTGCAGTCACTGAAGGAGAGATCCCATGGGTGCTTGGTGGTGCACCAGGCAGCTTTTAGTACAGGGCAGAGGTGTCCTCATTCATCACCAGTAGAGATGCTATGAAGACATTGGGCAGATGCAACAAGGAGGGGCAGTGCCAAGACATTGCTCAACTCTGTGTTCTGCATACACCATATATTTAAAAGAAAACTAGTTTTGTTTTATCTGAAAATACTGAGACATTTCATTATTAGCTCTCATACAAGAAAACTCTGTTTTTGAAGGAAGTACCAGGCGGGTTTTTAGGAGGAAAGGGGCAACAAAAGAGGAGAGAGCAGCTGTCTGAGACTGATCAGAGGAGCTTTAAGTAGGTGAGGGCAACAGTACCTGGCCTCTCTTTCAGGTCCCTCAGGGTCCTGTGTCCACATCCCTTCACAGGACCCCTTGTTTGGGTGGCATGTGCAGACAGGAGAAGAGGGGCATTTATCTTCTGTGGCCAGACAACATTCTGAACAACTTCTAGAGGAATGGGTGTTGGGGACCACAGGCCATTGCTGCTGCCGCCAGCAGCAGAGGAGCTGGCCCACACTTGCAGCAACTCTGTAGATGGTCTCTGAAGGCCAAGGCGGGTCAAACAGCTCATGGAGCATGCATTTGCAGATGTCCACCTTGATAAGCTGTTTCATTGGTGACCTCCTCCCCACCACCCCTCCGAGACCCTCTTTCCTCCATCAGCAGCCCACCAGCTCTGATGGGCACACCGCCCCATTTCTGCAGCATCCCTTTTTGCCTGCCCAGGAAACAACGTCCTGCTCTGCAACCTTACAATGCACGCTAGCTAATCTCACACACCCAGCGAGCCGGTGCCGATAACAGAGTTGACATCAAAGGGCTGAATCCCATGTCTGATTTGCACTGCCCGACCTGCACTGAACTCTACCCCCGGCACCCCATCCCTATGACCTCTGAGGTGCTATATTTACCGGGGCACTCTGTGTGCTAAGTCAATGTGGAAATTGGGTTAGTCATACTTTCCTGGAAGTGTGATCTTGCCCTGCTTGGCTGCAACCCGTGAGCTTCCCCAGCACTGCGAGCACTTTCAAAACTGAATGCTTTTCCAGTGGAAAGCCTTCCTGCCCCATTGTGAAGCAGGGCAGAAATGATTTGCATTGGGAGCCGGCAGGAATTCAGGTTATAAAAAAAAAAAGAAAAGAAAAGGGTGTGCTGAGGTGACTAAATCAATGCGTTTCACACGGAGGTTTGTTTTCAGCTGAGAAAGGGATCAGTGGTTATGTGAGATAGGATAGTCCTGCAGAGAAGTCACAGGACTGGGTTGTTCCCTAGCTGAACCACTGCATCTCTCATGAAAACTGGAGCAGCCCCAACACAAAACGTAATTGCCGACCCTTAAAGTATCATGAGAATGAAAAGAGAAATTATATTGCAAGCATGCAGCAAACAAGGAGAAAAGTTACCTGCCCCAGGTAAATGAATGGCCAGGATCTCATCAAGCTGTGATAAATTCAAGCTGTCTGAAGGACAACATCACCCTGTTCCGTAGTATTCCTATTTGGTGGGTCTTCTCTGAAGTTATGGGGTAACCTTTGGAGGACCCCCACGCTAAACATTCAGACTCCAAACTGAATTCTCAAAAACGTTGGCAAGTTGATAATATAGGAAAGATTCACAACAACTTATTTAACAGCAATTTTATTTAAATTATGTTTTAGAGTAAATTAACTAAAATATCAAAACTAAATTATATTTCAGTGACTTTGTCACAGCATATTCATTTCAAACTTTGAATAAATTGAAGCACTTCTCTCTCCAAAATCCTCTTCTGGAAAGAGTTCTGCTTTGAAGAATTTTTGTTTGCTGGTGCAAAACACTCCACAGAAAGCTCCTGACAGCCAGTTTGTGGATTTACACTGTTTCAGCCCTGATAGCACTGGAAATTCAAAGAAGGTGAGTCATTTGTGCTATATGCCTTGGCCATCTCTGCAGAACTGCAAATGGACCCCGTGCTGCCTCCTGCCCTGCCACACTGCATCAGCACCTTCTCACTCAAAGGCAAAAACCTGCCAAAATGCCTGAGACTCAAATGCATCTGTAGCTCTAACTTCTTACCTCATTCAATGGTTACCTCTCGTAAAAGGCCATGAAAACGGCTCATAAAGCCATGAAAAGTTATCCGACTTTAAAACTTACACAGTATAAAAGTCTGTTTTTTCATGGTCTTTGTTTCTTTGTACAAGAAAATGTCTTTTGTAATGCTCTGCTGTCAACTAGCAGATTCTTCAAAAGAATTTGTTTCTCTTTTTCAGGACAACAAACTGCTTAGCTACATCTGTGAGGAGGTGGAAGCAATCCTACTTCGCCCTGCAGCCCTTTCACAGGGGTGCCTGCTGGTGTAGGGTTACCCCTGAGTGACAGCAGCAGGGACCAGAATCAGTGAGTTATTCAGCAAGTGAGCTGTGACGAACCCCAAATCAGCCAACAAGCTGGAGAACCACCTCCTCTCCTCCTTGCAGTCGAGGCTTTTGAGTAATGTAGCACTGAACAAGGTTTTCTAGTCCTACGTAGGGGTCAACACAAAAAAGTAATAGCTTCCCTCCTGGGAGTCCTAGGCTGACCTGGGAGACTTCAACAAAAACCGTCTCTGTGCAAGAAGAAACATCTTCCAGGGGTTAGCACTAGCTGGAGGAGGCCTGGCTGTTGGCCAAAGAGTGGGGCACCTGGACCTTATCACTCTCCCGCAAGGCTGTGTCAGCTTCACCAGAAAGTTGGGTTGATCTCCTCCAGCAAGGTTAGGGCTGATGAAACAACAAGATGAGGCAGTGATTTCGTCAGTGAGAGCACAGCTGTGCCCATAGCAGCTAGCAGAGCAGGAAGGCAGAGAACTGGGGGACGCTGCCCCATGCATCTTTCAAGTTCTCATTTTATAAGTGTAATAGAGTATGAATATCAAAACCACACAAATTTGGGGGTTGCTGTCTACCAACAACTTCTGGGACAATCCTTACACTCTTTTTTTTTTCTAAAAAGAACAATGAAATTGGATGTATCCCCCTCCCCAAATAATATAGCAGGCAGTGCTGTAAGGAACTCCGGATAAGCAGTAAGAAACCCTGTGTGGATGAGGCTTGCAAGCAGCCAGGGCTCAAAGCTCCCCTTACACCGAGAAACACAGACATCTCTTACAGAAGGTGACATAAAGATCTGTCCATCTTCATGTGTCTTTCCCCAACTTTCGCTGGCCTGTGAGCAAGGCAACTGAGCAGAAGATGCACTGCAGGGGACACTTTCCTTGCAGAGTCTGCCAGGCTCTGTCCTGAGATTTAATTTCCTGTGACCCAAAGAAACGTCAGTCTGTCATGTGGCAGGTTGTCTGTGAACCGGGAATAGCAAACCTCTGCTGTAAAGCTCTGGGCTTACTTCTACCTGGACTATGTCTATACTAGTAAATAAACAGACCAGGGCTCATGAGGCCAAATGCCACAACACAGCTTATATCCATACAGCTAAACTTTCTTCTGCATATTGGAGACTAGACTAAAACCATGCTGGATAGTCATGGCAGAGTGGCCAAGCCCAGTGCCAGTCAGCTCGAAATCCTCGTGCTGAGGGACATCCTGCTCTGAACAGGGATCCTGAAGTTGGTCTGGCTGCAGCTGAGACAGCTGAAGCAGTTGCTGTTCAAGGTATTCATCATCCCTCCATCCCCCCCGCCTCAGCAGCTCTGCCACCATAGCTGCGGGCATTATTCATCCAGGCCAGGTCAGCCAAACCTGGCTGAGTTTGAACGGTTTTGGTAGGAGGTTCTTTGAGGACCTGGGTCATTCAGAGAGACAGGAATTCAGGACTGATTTTGCAATCAGCCGTGATGTCTGTAGGAGGTGAAATGACCTGAAGCCGGGGAAGTCTCCCTCTGGCTGCCACGCAGGCAGGGGATGTGTCGTGGCCCTCTGTGTGCCCTTCACACTGAGCACAAGACGTTCGCTGCTTACTTCAATCTGCAGCTCAGTGTGACAAAATGTGAATACGCCGGGGGGTCTGCCTTTACTGGGAGCATCCTACCAGTGGAGACAGTAGGGCTCCAATCCAGTCTGTCAATCCCTGGGAAGAGCAGAAGAAAAATGGCTCTGGTTTTTATACTGCAGGGCCACTTGCTACAAATCACAGCGTACCTCTATGTCTTTCCCAGTTCAGGACCCACAACTGCGTGAGCTCAGTGGCAGCCTCTCCCTGCTGCCAGCCACTCCAGTTTTCAGCCAGGCTGCACAGATCAGCCTCGCAGTAAGTCTCTGAGACTTCAAGAGCTGCAAAGCGTAGGTCTGATCCTGCCCCGTAGGCAAGCTGCCCTCTGGATCCTCGGAGTCTGCGGAGCCCTGGCTCCACTGTCAGGCATTGTCTCGCTCTTTGGCTTGCATTTTATTTATGAGAATTAGCCTGGAGGTTGAGAAATTACAAACGGACTGGCCGATGTTTGCAAGTAGAGATGGGCAGAAAGAGGATTATGTAAAGCAGGAGACACTGGAAAATCAAATAAAAAACACTGTCCTGAAAAATGGGTTGCATAATGAAAATAACAATTTAAAAAAAAAAGAGAAAAAAATCTGGTCTCTGGACGCAAGCCTTTATGGTCATTTTCTGACCCCTGCTCACCCAGCCCTCGGGGAGATGTGCAAACACAGGCGATTAAAGCGGAGGCGAGGAGGCTGTTTCTTCCCCGGCAGAGCGAGAGCCGCCGCAGCGGATTCCTCCTGCGGCGGGGTGGCGGCGGGTGCGGAGGGGTGGCTGGCAGGCGCCGAGGTGCGGTGGCCCCACAGAAGGCCACGCATTGTGCACGGCACGGCGAGCCGGCGCTTCGGTGCCAGCCACGAAAACAAA